ATTATGTTAGCAGCTACGATGTTTTCTCAGAGAAAGTGTTTGTAGGTTATAGCACACAAGGAATTTAATGGTAAAGGTCACAGGTCACAGAAAGCAATTGTATCCCCAAAAAAATAAAATGTTGGGTGTGCACATACTTTTGGAACACACTGTACGTGCGAAAAGTTGCCCGCACAAAAATGTATAGGCTCTCACCAACTGTTAAAAAAGAACTAGGTAAAACGCACCAGGTTGACATGATACTATCTCCTTGAGATAAGGGCACCGTAGGCTAGTGAATGCAGAATCAACGATCTGGATACACGCTTGTATGTAAACGGCGTTGGAGCAAAATGCGTTCATTTGGGTCTCAGTGACCTCCGTGGAGGAAACGACAATCGTGGTGCCTGGGTTTTGTGTTATGATCGGTTTTCCTGCACATGCCGTCATCAGCTGCTGCACTGTGTAGCTTTGGTCTCCGAGGCCGCAAGCTACAAAGTCATTGTTAATTCCAACGAATCGTAATGGTGGTAATATTGAGGATGTGACAATGAACTTCAATCTCCTCGAAGCAACTTCTTCTTGCCAAAATGATTTGATTCCTTTTATGGATTGAAAACTGATGGACAACTTGGCAATTAGAAGGCGATGCTAAATAAGAAAGAGCTGACCGGGTACATAGGGCGTCAATGCGCAGTTGGAGCACCATCCAGGGAATTTCTGTGTTATTCCCGGAGAAAGCAGTGGATTTCCGCTGATAGTTCCGCTTTCTATGCATAGGTTGCTCTCGCACGATGGGAACGTAATGTTCACCAAGAAGGGATTGTCGATGACGGTTATTGCAGGCTTGCCTACAACGATTCGGTGCAAATGAGAAATGCATGATTGAAGGAGACGAGTAATGCTCACCAGCTTTGCATGAATTCCATCGTTTCAGTTTTGGGAATACTAGATTCTGAATGGTGGTAGTTTGTAAGTTCAAACACATCACCACCTCTACGGCCTCGCGGAATAGTTGGTTAATTTGAGCTTCCGTGAAGGTGTAAGTCAATTCCACTCCAGGCAGAGAAATTACTTTTTGTCCTGCGCAGCTCCTCATAAATACTTCGAAGCTTGGAAGTTCAGTTATGTCGCGGCACGCTGAAATGACCTTCTTCGAAATAGTTGAGTAATCATCATATTTGCTGCAAACATACTTGATTCGTAATCTACTTCGCAATCCTTGCATATTTCTTTCAGGATGACAAGTTCATTATTAGGAATCAAGGGGTTTTCTCTGACAACCATAATCTTTTCTTCCATTGTGTACTTTACGAGACTATTTATGACGACATTCTGTAGCTGCGAATTGCCAACGATCGTCCATACTGGTATTCCTAAAAATTGTGAATCATAACCTTCCTTCATATCTATTCAGCTAAAGTTTCGAAAATTTCCTTTTTGACCTCATCTATTCTTGCGTTGGCGTTTCATATACTCTCTGATAAGTTCAGTGAGGGGAGGCAATTACTTACCTGGACGGCATGGGGCCACAGCTCGTAACATGGGGCAGCTAATCGACGTATAGTCGGTATTAGTGATATTGAAGCACATTTGCAGATATACGGCTTGAGAACAAAGCTGTGTGAACTGCTCCTGCGTGACGGTGACCACTTCGTTGAATACAATCCTTGGTTTTCCCAAACAATTCTGCAGGATCTCTTCAACCGTAGTATAAGCAAGGGCCGGCCAGATCACTCCACACCCTGGAATAGCAAATCAACTCGAGCAAATTCTTTGATCACTATTTCAAGGTCTTCAGAAAGGCTTAGTCTGTCTCACAGAGCTTCTAATTATCTAAAAAGAAGACTCACTCGTATTTGGCTCGAACACGCAGTACTTGCATTTCTCCCACGGAGGGTATTGTTTTAGCGCTGGGTTGTAAGTAACATAGAAGGGCTCAATACTGACATCCCATTTAAACGTTGTAGATACATGAATGACCTCTAGTTTCGGATTTCCCTCTATAGTGAATGCTGGACGACCTAGAATCACACCAGTAAGCGCATGCACAGTGAAACAAAAAATTTATGTTCCCTACCTTTCTCGCATGTGTGCACTTCGACGAGGTTCGGCATGCGCAGGCACTGTATTTGTGATTGTCGCATAGTGATGCACATTTTTATGTAGGTAACGCTTTGGAAAAGCTCGTCGACAGTCTCCTGTTCGAGTGATGAGATGTCCAGTTCGATAACGGCTGCTCCCCTTGGTTTCCATACTTTCGTGCCGGCACACATTTGAACAAATTCAGTAATGTTTTTCGTCAGATGTTCTTCAATAGAGGCGCATTCTGAAAAGTCAAAAACTTCAAGGCCAGCATTGAGTTCTTGAGTCCTTCTAACTGTGAAACAGAAGCAAGCTTCTCTCAAAAGGCTGACTGCATGCTTTTATCTGCAAGGGAACTTTCTAATGCTTTTGGTAGTCATAGCATTTGTGGACTAAGCTTTTTGTTTTTATCATATAAAAGGGCAGCGTTGCCTGAAGTATCCTCTGGCGAGATTTTCAAGTCGAAAAACTGAGATGCCACCAAGTGGTAGCTCTGCATGTGCACTAACCAAATGCTGACCCAATCCTTACTTACGATAAGTCGCACAGTGGAAAGTGTACTGTTTCTTTGGAATAGGTGTACCGAAAGTAAGCCCATTAATGTCGACAGCTTTGTAATTCTAGCTGCACGAGCTCACTGCTCCTTCGAGAGTGTACTGAAAATCGAATGCGTCCAGAGCTTGCGAGGGGCAGGCAATAAGTGGAGGCCATCATTTTGCCCTCCTGCAAAGTCGATGCATAACTATCCTAACGAAGAATGTCCCTACATTGAACATATTTGGTGCACTACAGAATCTGCCTTCCCTGAACAGACTATTATTCCGACCGCTTGTGATCGGAGGGGAGAAATCGATCACTCCAGACTTTTCCTTGACCATACGTGAGCATGAGGGAAAGCTTTACGCGACGTCCAGTAAGTAACTATGTAGTTCATAATTTGATGTACCAAAGTAATGGCAGGTTGAGGAGGTGCTCGAAAGTCCTCGAATATGAAGAAATTTCAGCAGTTGTTTCTGCAAGTCCTCGAAGATCTTGAGAGGATCAATAGCAGTGTTCCTAATGGCAAGTGTCAGTGCATCTTGTAGTTCAGGTGGGCTGAGCGGATCGTCTTCAAAGACCTTCCGTTTCAACTAACCCCTACAAGTAATACCGTGAGCTTGAGTCGGAATGGTGATACCAAAATAACTAGACTCCGCCCACAGGGGTGGGGTTTGAGCGGAAACTCACAGATCCTGTCCCCATGGACCTAGAGAGTTCAAACTTGGTAAGGTACAGGGACAGGATGGGAACACTTTGGTGGATGGCAGGACTAGACTCCGCCCACAGGGGGCGGGGTTTGAGCGGAAACTCATAAATTCGATAAAAGTCTATAATGAAAATCAGCTCATGTGGCTCCGTCTCTCATGGCTAGAGCCCCTAGCGCACACGATGGCGTGCGTAGCCGCCTGGTACCAAAATAATTTGGCACTGTGTATCCTTTTTCTAAACTGTCCAGGAATACTTGTAGTGGTGTAACCACCACGACACTTCTTTCTATGCACAGAATATTACCCGATAAAAATTCAGATTGTATGAGGAAAGAACCTACCCTTATACGGTCGGAGATGGCAGGAGTTACATCGCGACTGCAAGGATTGGATAACTTCATGGTCCAGAACGTAGTTGTACTGAATTTTGATAGACTGATGGTAATTCAGTGATCCAAAACCTTCAGAGTGGTAGGCGGGGAAGCTTATTCTCCTCAAATTCCTATTGTACATGGCATCGAAACAATGTACTCCTGAAAATCTCATGTCCTTCATTTTTTTCTCGATCACTTCCTTTTTCTTTGCGATTTTTGTCATGTGACAAGTCCTATCCATATAAGTTCGTTACTTCAGTAACTCTACAGCTAAAATTCTTCAATTCTTCATTACTTGAGTAGTAAGAATTACTACCTTCCATGGTTGGCAGCAATCGCAGGAGTTTCGGGAATTCTATCTCGGTCCAAGGCACATTCCTCATTCTGATAGACATCTGAACGTGAGTGGCCTCTTTGAAAAGAGCCGTGAATTGCGAGTATCTCATCTGACTCAGGTCCAACACAAAATGGCTGTACGGTCGTGTTTTTATAATCTTCTCTCCTCGACATTGTTGGATTAGTTGACCATAGTTGAAAGGTGAGACCGGCTCGATTGCACTGCATTCTAAAAAATGAATTATAAAATTTAGAAAACCGCTCAACTTTTAAAGAAAATGTGGGTGTCAATGTGCTGTGTTCCTCTACAACCCTTTGAATGAAATAGTCGATCAGAAGCATTGGATTACGATAAACGTCCCTGTCCCATCATGAACTGAGTCCACTTTTTCATTTTCCAGAACCACTAAAGTTCGTGGACTTATCATTGTGTTTTCATTTTGAATCCTATTTGTAATTACACTTGAAATTTCTGTTTGAGACCGAAAGAACTTACTGGACCACTTGAAGATATCACAGTACGAGCAGAGATATCGAAGACTCTCCATGCTAGCCTGGTTCAACACTCTATTGCCATCCACCGTAACTACAGTTGGCCCGAAAACATTTCTGTCGAATTGATAGCGTCTCAAAATGCTGAATCGTACCAGCTGAGCGTTATTTCTTATTGTAATACCTGAAATCGGCTTTTTACTGATAATCGTACCCACGCAATTGCTAACTTTAGAAAAGAGGCCTCTATTTATACCAAGCTCAACCGACTGTCTCTTGAACCGTCTACCAAATCTTCCTGTAATGCCCTTCTAATGCTAGACGGGCAGCAGGAACGATTTTGGGTAATCGATTCGCCGCACGCGGCTGTCGCGGGCCACTTATTCGCCGTTATTACAGCTCTGGCGTCCTTCCTACAACTCAGTCGATATGCGATCCTTATTTTAGTGATGATTCTACTATTAGTTCCTTTGTTCGCTGCTGCATTCTGCTACATTGCTTCGCGCGCGGCGCCTCTCTCGCCGCCACGCGACAATTTCGTTCCTACTGCACCACACCCCTTCTACTTATATTGGGTAAGCAATGCCCTCATGTAAGTCAAACAGTGCCTGCTGTTAATCAGCTTCGCCTTTTCTGATTGTCTCGCTTCTTTTGTTCCCTACGGGCCCCAACAATTCGCAGTAGCTTACCAACCAGTCTGCGTCATGTTCATTAGGATCATTTCCTCGTGAAAAAGGAAAGGATACTGATTAATAGTAGTGATCAAGGACCAGTCATCGGTTTTGCGTTTCTTTTGCACAGCCGCTTGTTTTTACTACCCAGGTTCGTAGAAATTAGAGATATTGATGGATCTCCTCAAAGGCTCGATGACCAACACTCCTTACGTGTTGATAACACCCTAGTTGGGGAGTTAAAAATGCTCAAAGATTGGCCCGCGTTTACGTTTTGGACGGGTTTTACCGGAATTAGGAGACTGCACCGATCACTAGGGAACCCATTTAGGAAGTTCAAACAACTTGTCAACTACTTGACCCGACAGTGGAAGACAACTATGTACAGTTCTGGCTTGATGTAGTCAGC